TCCATTGTGTTCTAATGGCTGCGATTGCATTAGGGGCCTGAAGTTATGAGGGCAGCTAAGCCACAGGCAGGGCTATGCAGATGGATGCCTGCACTGTTGGAGGGCCTAATCAAATAGCCGAGCGCGGGGGGCAGAAGTATCTGATCAGGGGCGGGGGGTAAATGGACTGGACTCTGAAAGCTGTGGTTAGTTTGGACAATCTGCTGTTTAAGTGGCGAAAGCAAATGGACAACTGCTTACCACCAACAGCATGATAAAACATAACAGCATACATAATGTCCTGTTCAGATGGGCAGGACGGTTCAGATGGTTACTTATATCTGTGATTTTTATTTAAATTCGACATCAAAATATTCAAGAAAAAGTTGATTTACCTTGGTGATCATTTTGGGTGTAAGATTAAAATTTAAATTATTTTTATTAGTAGTAACAGCACTAGAGAAAAGTTAACAAAGAATGAAGGGGTATAGTAGTGTATATATATTTTTACTTAAACATATTTTGACGTATTAAGAATTTAACATGAACAATGCAGCAAAATTAACTTAACTTATTGGAGCTATGTGTAACTTTTTTGGTGTACGGACGACTACCCAAATGTAGATGTTTTAGTTTGTATAGAACAGTGGATCTCAACCTTTTCAGTCCAAGTATCACCAAAGAAAAGATGAAACTTTCTAAGTACCACCAGGTAAATCATGTATGTACAGTAACAGGACTATTGTAGGGCTAAACCCAGTCTGAAATTGGACTACATCATTTCCACGGTAATTCTAAACAAGAAATTATCCAAAGGAGAACAACAAATGTGGAGAAAATTAACTGCATCATAAAAGCTGCCAGAGGTGGGAACTTGGACTTGAGTCAGACTTGAGTCACTATTTTTAGGACTTGAGAATTGACTTGATAAAATGGACTAAGACTTGGGACTCGACTTGGACTTGAAGGTCAATGACTTGGGACTTGACTCGGGCTTGGGGCCTGTGACTTGAGAAAACTTGATGCTTCTCCTTAAAAATATATGTTTTTAGAAAATACTTTTCTCTTTTCAGTTGATAAATGCAATGCTGAATTTTACAGGAAGAAACTGAAACATGTCCCTCCCACTTCTGTTTGTTACTTTGAATGAAACTGAAGTACTGTGATGCAAATGTACTACAGTATTATACAGTACAATACAGTAAAACAGAGGGAACTACATAGAACATGATCCTTCTATTTCAGTGCAGACTACACGTCAAAACAACTGTTATTTAGCATTCTTAAATCTAAATTCTTTCAAGACATTTAAAAAGGGGAAATTAGCATTTTTACAACTCTTATATAAATATACCATGACTTTCTAAGTACTGTTTAGTTTGAAATTCATGTAAATTGCAAAAATCTAACCTATATTTGGTACTATGATTTAAAGACTTGAAATGACTTGAAGCTCAAAGCAGATGAGTTGGACTTGACTTGGACTTATGGGCCTGTGACTCAAGACTCGACTTGGACTTGCCTTTCTTTGACTTGGGACTTGACCCGGACTTGAGGTCAAATACTTGAGACTTACTTGAGACTTGCAAAACAACGAATTGGTCCCACCTCTGAAAGTTGCATAGAGCACGAAAACTAATTTCTACTTTACTCATTTTGTTACACTGAACCAATGTAGGTCTATAATTTAGATCAACTCAAGATTCTACTTTTAGAAATATGTTTGAGTTAATATCATAGGTGGGACCAAGTCTTTGTTTTGCAAGTCTCAAGTCCGAGTCAAATCCCAAGTCAAATACAGGGAAGTCCAAGTTGAGTCTCAAGTCATTGGCCCATAAGTCCAATTCAAGTCCAAGTTGTCTGTTTTGAGCTTAAAGTCATTTCAAATCTTTAAACCAATGTGCCAAATACAGCTTAGATTTTTGCAATTTATTTGACTTTTAAGACAAATTGTATTTTAAAAAATTATAGTATATTTGTATATGAGTATTTATGGAGTATATAAGAGTTGTAGACATTAATTTACTTAATTTTTCCTTTTTAAAAGTCTTGACAAGATATTAGTGTGAATCAGTGTGGTCAGAATAGAAAGAATTCAGATTTAAAAGTGTTTCTCAATTCTTCTCAAGTCACAGGCCTCAAGTCCAAGTCGAGTCCCAAGTCATAGTCCATTTTATCAAGTCAAGTCGCAAGTCCTAAAAATAGTGACTCAAGTCTGACTCGAGTCCAAGTCACGACTTATAAGTCCCCACCTCTGGTTAATACTGTTTTTGAGTTAATCCCAAAAAGTACTGACATTAAGGTTCCATAGGCAAATGTGTCCTCTGCATTTGACCAGATCTTTGTCATTTTTTGCCCTAACAACATGAAACTTTGCATTGCACACACCGGTCCCATTAGGGTAACACCCTCCAAACTTGAGATCAGTCGGATGAGCAGTTCGAGTTATTTGCATTAATATATAGATGATATTCTCAGTCCTTAAGTTATGGTTTATTGTTGTGGCTGATGCTTCTAAAACCTTTAAAACAGAGTAACCACTAATGATAAAGTCCATTCCATCATCTACTCCTATAATGCATTTCAGTGCCTTACGGAGCCACTTCTGACTCAACTTTAGTCCATTTGGTGATTTATCCAGTCCCATGACGGGCCTAATCTCTGCAGTTTTCTCCTAAAATTTGCAGCACTCTGTTGCATCTTCCTCTGAGTGAAGTTATTTGATTTAGAAAACTTTATTACCAATATTAAAGTGATGTGGGTCCAACCGCAAATGCACAGCGTCAGCAAAGAGGATGTGGAGACGCTCTTCCTCTGTCAAGTCGTCTCTGTTATAAAGAGCTCCAGTCAGCAGCCCCCTGGTGCCCTGCCAACACTAACGCGGCCTGGAGCTTTTAGATAGACTGTGCACTATAAGGGATGGTTACTTAGGTTTTAACTTGAGACCGAACAAAGTGCTCTGATCAGCTGCTGCCTGCACTGGTTCATTATCATCAAAAATATTCATAAAAAATATCAGGAGCGGTTTGAAAAAGAAAAAGTAATAGAATTTTTGACAGTAAGTTTTCAAATCAGGATTCAATTCATTGCGTATTTTAAACACGTCCAGGAGCTTTAGTGTTTGAGGGAAGATTGAAATGTGAATAGCTTTAAAATGCACAATTTAACTTTACAGATAGAGCACCTGCCACCTTTTTCTCCATGGAGACAAGCATGTGGTGCCATCAGGCCAAATTACATGTCAAATCTGCGGAGAGGTGGACCCATTCAAAGTAGATAGATATGTTTAATGTAATTTTGTGAAACATTCTAGGCAAAGAAATTACATCTCCATAGAGACAGACCGTCCACCAGAAATATTACATAGTGCACCTTTATATTTATGGCATTAAATAACAGGCCACGTTACTGTTCAAGTCTCTGGTGAGAAGACCTGCTCACAGTAACAATGCACTTGAGTTATAAAAATATCTGTGAATGAATAAATGCACGAAGGTTTAATGCCATATTGCGAAACATCTAGGTAAAGCAATCACATCTTCTATTTCCAAGCCTAGAATAGGAAGTGTGACAAAGGAACATAAAACTTTTGGCAAATCACAGTGAAATCACAACTTGCTAAATAATTAATTGACTGCTGACAATGGAAAAAAACAAAAGTGTAGGCCTATATTAGTACATTTCTTAAACCCATATCATATGACCCATTGATTTGAATAGTCCTGAAATGCCATGTCAAAATTAGTCTTCCTTTTATGAACAGGTAGAAGGGAGTCAAGGTCTGGGCCCTATAGATAGAAGAGTCTAACTATGTAGTGAATTACCTGTCACCTTTGATTGAGGAGGTAATTATGGAAGTATGCACAAGTAGCTGTCCCAATACAAACACTCAGGTGTTAAAGAGCTCGGAGAGAACTATAGTTTCCCATCGTCAGCATAGCCAAAGCCTGTCTCTGATTGTACGGCCCTGACTCAGCTGTCTCCATCTCTCAGCTAAGTGATTTTTGACACTTTTCAGTCGTTTGAACCCAAAAAAATCATCAGTACGCAGCCAGAGCAGAATGTAAATTTAAGTGGACGTGCTTCAGTCAGTCCTAATCAAGCCTAAAAGCATGATTTGAAGAACAAGAAGGAACCGCTTTCTATGCTCGGGATGAGACACTTTTGGATTTCTCGAATGTTTTTTTTATGTCTTCACCCAGTGGTTCTTAAACTTTACACTCCAAGTACCACCTCAGAAAACAAGTTACAAGTGCCAAAGATCGATTACAGGGCTATTATAGATCTATGCCTAAGTCTAAAAAAGTAAATTGTAGTTCTAAGCAATGGCTTAGTAAAGGAGGACAAACTGAATTCAGCTGAAGGAGCTTGGACTGGAGCTTGTGCTAGTGCAGCCTCTGCAGCCTTTAGAGTGAAATCTTAAGGTTCTGACCATTCACATGAGGCATTGTCCATAAACAAAGAATGAGGAATAATTGTATTTGCACAGGATACCCAGGTTCAGTTGTTGTGATTAATTCCTTTTTAAACCAGAATTCTACTTGAAAATACTCAAGTAAATGTTACATTCATTTTGGTGGCAATAGTTGTAGTTGGGGCATGAAGTGTGAATTGTCACAAGGCTTTAGAATTTAAATTTTTTTAGGCATATCCCCCAACCCTAGTTATTTTTTTGTATCATACTGGTCTTTTTGTTATTCCTGTAGACCTTAAAGGTTATATTTAACACAATATGTACTCTTGTGAGCTTTAAGCCATGTTAAAATGTTGTTACCTCAAAAACACACCTGGGTTTGTGTTTTGTTTCATTGGTTTCATGTGACCCATTGTTATTAGCCCGTCTAAATCGCCAAAGCTCAAAATGCAGATTCTAGCTGACCATCTGTATTTCCATAGACAGGAAAAAAGGAAATGACTTTACAGCAGTTTCAATGTTAACTAATGCATTGACCAAATGACACCATAATGGACCTCATTAAGTGTGAGCCCTAAATAGAGATAGAAACTGAATCAGATGTTAATTAAGGTAGGAAGCACAGGTATTTTTATTCTGAGAAAAAGGTGAAATAAATGTCACTTTTGCATAATCCACGTTGAAAAGTGTTCCCAGGGATTCTCACATGAATATCAGGTCATGTGGGGATTTGTGGCGTGCTTTCAGCAGCTATGCCACCTGCTGATCCTTCAGGGCATTGCAACAAAAGCCTGGGGTACAAAACACCATCAAAAAACAGAACAAGACATTTAACTTGGAAAAATCTTTCTTTCTCATACATAACTTTTTTTTTCCAGCACTGAGGTTGTTTTGACGTGTCATTGACACCTGAAAGTAAGAGTCCTTTTAACATAATATGATTAATGGCTACATCTACAAAGCAATTTTCTCCTTCCACTGGGAACTAAAATTGCTTTACCTCAAGGAACTATTTCAAACAAACAGCTGAACAACGGTGGCTTAGTGGTTAGAGTGCTCACCGACAAGATGGCAGTGCGACCCGAGCTCCGACCAGTGCATACTTTCGCGTTCTTGGGCAAGACACTTCCCCTACATTTGCCAATGCATAAATGTGGTTTGTAGCAAGTGAACACAAAAGTAGCGTACCAAAACTGAATATGTTAGGCCGGGCAATTAAGAAAGACGACTCTGGGAGAATAAAATCATGTTCTCTGGAGTGGAGTTCATTATTATCGCCCTGACTTAATGTGAAGTGAATGAATACTGCACCAAATTGTGAAGTGACTTGGAGCACCTGGAAAAGTGTTGCTTTTTACTAATGCATTTTACAATCTATTTATATTCATACACTAGTGTGCACTGGCAAGTTAAGTGTCTTGCCCACAGAGCAGAGATCAAACCTCTGACCTTAAGATGAGGGGCCCTACGGCTTTACAGTCGCCACAATCCACACTTTAAGAACACACGTTTGCTACTATTAAAACTGTAAAAAAAGCAGTAGTTTCACAAAAATAAAAATAGCATTATTGCTGAAAATGTACAAAATATACATTATACTAAAACATTAAAATACAATTAGCATGTTCTTCCTATAACCATTTGCATATTTTTGTTGAACAGTAACGTGATTAATGTAGTTTTAGAGGTAAAATTGTTTTCTTCTATCAACTCGGGGTTTGCACACAACGTTTGCAATTGAGAATAACCTTTCTAAATTATTATGTTGAAAGATGCTGATGACCTGCTGGGTTTAGGTTGAAGGTTTGTATTTAAAATGTTGTGAACATTCTAGGCCTCCTCTGCCTTGATCTCCATTACATTCCCGTTGCCATTTCCATTGTTTCCACTGGGACAGTTTACCATGTTATTCCAAGTTCCCAACTCAAAAGTCTTTTCCTCCATTGGTTTGCCGATCCAGGCCCCATATCCTTGGACGCTGAGAGCCTGGAAAAACAGCCTTTTAGCTTTCTGGAAGTCCTCGGCCAACATCTTGGCCTGAGCATACGAAGATAAGGAGAGGAGATCGCTGCGCCCAGATCTCTGACACAGAGCGCGAAAGAGGCAGAAGAGTTTGGCCTTACAAACCCGGGACACAGACATTTTATTTCTACAAACAAAAGCTGTCATTAGACACTTGAAACATTTAAATGTTGGTTTTGATTTTCTGTTAAAACTGTTGTGCCACTTACCCATCCAGTTTGCCTTTGGTCCCGTCCAGCACCTCCACACAGTGCTGGTCTGGAAAGCTCCAGTTCACACTGGACTCTTTGGTCTTGCCTGTGTGTCGCGTGGAGTCATACACACTCACTCGTCCCACCTACAGCAGACAATCAGAGACAAAAACGAGAAAGGAGAGAAAACTCCATCAGATCATATTCAGTTTAACACAAGACAAGGAAGCAGAGCTTAGAGTGTGCTGATTGACAATCAGTGATAAATGAAACTTAGCAGTGCTTCTGTTTATATTGTTTTACCTCAGGGTGATTGAGCCTAAACGGCGATGGGAGACTTTTCGCGAGTGCTTCTCCATCTCTCGCAAGTCGACAACAAACGGCTCGTGTCAGGTGCCCATGGCTGTACAAATAACCTGAGACACATAATTTCAAATCTAAAGATCCTGTCAAAGCCGACTTAATATTTGAATCAATAAGCTTGTAATTTACCCAGACTAATGGACTTTAGGTAGATAGGATGAACAAAATGAGACAGCAGCGCCCCCTGCAGTCCAAGCACATTCCAGCGGAGGATCTTGTCACTACAGCTCATGGTGCGCAGCCTCTCCCCGTGCTGAATGCCATCCCAGGTGGGCACAATATCACTCGACTCCACAGGGATGGTGCCTTCACCTGATACACACACACACACATTTGGGACTAGAAAAAAATCATCACTGCAAAGTGCAGACAGTCAGAGTTCTTATTACTCACCGTTCTCCACTTTAGTTCGTAGCTTGCCCTGTTTAGCGTTCTCAAAAAGAGGCTGGTGACCCACCACTTCATCCCCCGCCTCACTGCAGGATTTGTCGAACAGAGCTCCGTCTCCACACGGTGCCGTGCTATGGGAAAGATGAGAGCAAAAACACACAGGTAAAACACTGATGAATGAAGCCAATACAGAGGAGTGTGAAAGAGAAGATACAACATCTGATAGTCCCACCTGATGTAGAGGTGAAAGGTGATGTCAGATTTGATTCTCAGCTTGTTTTCTTCAGCTGGCTCAAATATACTGTCATCTGCTCCATCAAAGTGCCTGAGCAGCTCACTGTACAGAAACCTGAGAGCAGGAGAGAGGTACACTTGTACTGCCCTGCAGACTGTGTCTGACAAGCTAAGTATATTTAGAACTGGTCATCAAACACTGTAAAAAAAATAAATAAAATAGAGCTATTTTTACCGGACAAAGCCCCTTCTGGAGATGATTTCTGCATGGCAATCGTTAACCGTCTCGCCTTTAAGGCTCAGCTCCTCTCCTTTAACACAACGATTCCCTGATGAAAAAAAAAAGCAAAGACACCGTCAAAGGACACAGCTACACAACACCACAAGGTCGTGTTCAGGCCCTTTTGGTTTGGATCAGAAAAGCACATTTATGACGCCTGTGCTTTTTAGGAAAGACACTGAACCCAATGTGAAGCTGTTATACGCATGTCTATGAGGTTCTGTTTACCTGTTCCTAGGCTGACCACAGTGCCCAGGCCCTCCCCTCTCCTCATCACGATGGTGGCCAGAATCTTGCGTCCCAAAAGGCTGTGCTGTATACGTGTGGTCAGGGCATTGAAGCGCTGGTGACTCAACATGGCTATTTGGTCGTGTAAAGTGCTGCCACTCACTGGAAGCTATATTTAGACAAAGGGACAGTACAAACACAATCCATATGATTTTAAATGTACATTTGAAGTATGTATGTATGTAGTGCATGGATGAATGAGGAACAAAAGAGGTCATACCTCTGCAGGGATGAGTTCCCCTGTTCGTGCTGCTTTCTCAGCTTCTCCAATCAGTATCCTCAAAGCAGCATCTGCCGCCTCCTGTTTGCCCTGCTTCTTGTTGGAGGCACAGACGGGAGGAAACCAGCGCCCACCAAGTTTGGCCTGGTACGTGAACCTGAGCAGTGCAGATGGACAGTAAAAAGTTACATTTTAAAAGTTATTATTGACATTATATAGAGTGTGGTTCTCCAGTATTAGGTCATGTGCCACTAACTTTGGTTCATGGGCTGGTCCAGACTGGTCCACAAGTCGGATCTCTGCAGCAAACCCACGCGCTCTTGCATACTCCAGCAAGCCAGAAACTGCATTGTTGTTGAGATAGTTGATAAGGTCTCCCACCCCTGCCTCATGAGCCGCTCGCAGTGCATCTGCTGTCAGAGGGGGCAGAGGCAGACACGGGTTCCCAAAGGCTTCCTCGTCATTGGAAGTGCCCAGAGGAAAGTGGGGCTAACAGAATAAAAGAGTAGTGTTATTCAGGTTTCAGGGCAAGATTTTTCAAAACGAGTCTCTTACCTTGTTGGACTGCAGTCGTCCATCTGCCATTAGTTCTTTAACTGCCTCTTCTGCTGCCAGCTGCCGAGCTGCCTTTTTGCTCGGAGCTGAGGCTTCTGGGAACAACGTCTCTCCAATCTTGACCTGGTACATAAACCTGACAACAAAAATAAATAAAGTCTGTCATTTGTCTATGTAAGAATAAATCTAGTTGACTTGCCAATGTTGTGGAAATTTGCCCTCCTAGAAACGCTGACATTAAAAAATTATATAACAATATATGTTTTAAAATATTTAACAGAAAGTTAAAAAGACTCAACTTTCAATATAAGCAAAAGCATTTTTGCTTCAAAATATGTGTTAAAATTAAGGCTCGCATTTGCCACCAAATGTGCAGAAATCTGCGCCACGGAAAATGTTTTGCTATTATCAAACCAACTGCCTCGAGGACTGCACTAGAGAAACAGCCAAGAAACACTGGCAATACTGTTTCTTGAGTCAGGTGACCCCACATTTTAAAGCACAATCACAAAATCATTTGTAATCTGAAATGAAATGTTTTGCCGTGTTATTTGAGCAGATGTGAAGGTGAAGCAGTTAGTACCTGGGGTCATGTGGAGGACCAGCCTGACCAGTCACAATGAACTCAATGGAGTTGCCACTGCGTTGGCTGTACTCCATCAGAACAGACACTGGATTCTTTCCCCCAGGAAGTGAGCGGGACAGAGGCTGCCGAGCCCCATCAGATGTCCTCATCTCCTCTCCACCGTCTGCTCCCAGCATGTCTTCAAGAGACCCCTAAAAAAACAAAATATTTTTCTCATAAACATTAAATGTACATTTGACTATTTAAGCTCTTGAGTTTTGTGATACTTACACTATCTGAAAATAGACCCGTAGCTTGGCCCATGTTGGCAGTGCCTCCCTCTTCCCCTGAGCCGGGCCCACCCTGCATCTCAGCAGCCAGCACTCGCAGAGCAGCTGCAGCAGCGTCTTTTTTTGCCACTTTTTTGCTTGAGGCCTCAGCGACTGGAAACAGTTTTCCACTCAGCATCACCTGCATGCGGAATCTTAAGCAGGCAAAATAAAAGAAAATCGTTGATTAAAAAACACACAGAAGACAAATTAATTTAAGACAAGCCCATACACAAAATCAAGGCTAACCTTGGGTCATGCGATGGTCCTGATTGGTCAAGAAGCAGGAACTCACAGCTCTCACCAATGAACTGAGCATACTCCATGAGTCCACTGACCGGGTTCTTCAGTTTAACCTCTTGTAACTTCCCCCAAAAGTTCTGTGGAGGTGGTGCAGCCAAAGACACTGCTACAATTCCCATGTTGTTGGCCTGAGGATTGGCCCTCTGCGTTTCTCTGCGAATGGTATTGAGGTACTCTGGGATTTCGTCAGTCGCCCACTGCCCTTCACTGGGCTCTTTAGCCTGTGGCAATGTGAAAGCTGATGCCTAAGGAAATAACAAGATGACCTTTAGTTATCATGAATGGACACTGACATAAACCTCCTTAAATTAATAAAAACTATTGAGAACATTATTTCTCAGATTACTTACTGCTTCTCTGTGGCCATTGTCTGAAGACCCCGCTTGCGGTGGCAGTGGTTCTAGACCCGGTACTGAAGAAGATGGCACAGACATAGAACAGCCTCCACTTTCATTTGTAGCACTTTGCTGCTGCAGTCCACTCTGACCTGAAGAGGACTTCTTTGGCTTTGACGTTTCTTTCCATCCTTTCTTTACAGTGAGTAGAGAGCTCCCAGGTAGGAGGACTTACCTCACCATTTTTGATGACTTCTCCTTGTTTTTCCAAAGTATAAAGTGTTGGGTTGACCTGCTTGGCACCCCTGAGCCCCAGATTCTTAGCAATAGTAAGAGACGTGGCCTCCCCCACACCCAGGAGGTATTGCAAAACTAGCTCTTTCTGTGCTGCCATTGTTAGTTTGAGCTCTGGGGGAAACCGTATCACTGCAGATATTACACTCTTTGTCCTTGGTTTGCAATTTCTCCCAAAGGCAGAGAATCAGATTCTTTTACAGCAGTGCACAGCGGAAATGATGGACTGTGTAAATTCCAGACAAACTTTCAAACCTGAAAAGGATCAACAAGGGCACAATTATATAACATAAAAAACTAAGGGTTGTCTACAATGCAGTGACACTGAAACACAACTGTCCAGCCACCCTACAAGGATACAGCAGGGTGACCGTCTCCCTCAGTCCTCCTGAAACATAAGCCCAGGCCAAAGGGCTGGTGGTCATTAATTATTCAAGTCTTCATATGACTGTCCCTGACTGTACAAATTAACACCAGAAAATATGATACATTTAAGCAGTAAGGTGTACTCTAAACAGCTATGGTTAAACTCGAGGCAATGGACAGTACAGCACTCTTGCTAAGTAACAGTCATTGATTAAGCCTCAAGTGTCATATTTAACATCACTCAGTGTTGTCTATAGGAGCGACATCATCAACAAGAGCACAGCCAATACTGAGTCAGGTTACACCACTCTGCAACATAACAGCACACACAAGTTTATCACATGAATGCAGAGAGAGAGGGACCATGCCTGAGGTTAAACTGGACTAGAGCTGGACCCTGATCCAAGATAACAGCTGACAGAAGAACAAAACTATCCATAAGAACCACTTTGATAATGCTCCTCTGTGTTGAGAGACTCAAAGGTCCTAAAAAGCCATTTCCTTTAATGATACTTGTCTATTTAAATCCTTTTGAGGCATGAATAAAAGTAAAAAAAAAAAAAAGATAAAGGGAAGATACGAAGATACAATAGATAAGCACTGCACCTGCAATAACACAGCTACATTAAAAAGTAAAAGGGACTTGTGTGTAGAGCTGTTTTCCTCTCATACAGAGGAGGCAGAGGATGTTAGAATGACCTATGCATCTGCAAGAGAAAACTGCTTACACCAACAGAAATAACAACAGCTCAGTTCATCCATTTATGTAGTCTTTATGTGAGAAAATCCTTAGTAAATAGATTAAAATAATATTTGTATTCTGCAGCTAGTGTGATGTACGTTTTATGGGGCTTGCATTTCATGAGCCTATGAAAGAAATACCTCGTGCTGGAACTCATCTGAACAATGTAAACAATGAATTATTACACGGCCGGCATTTACAGCTGCAGCTGTGAAGTCCTTAACAAAGGCTTTTTACGCTACGTTATAGAGCACTAACTGGATTGCAATAACACTAGAAGTCATTGAGTAAACCTAAAATATTTATACCCTGATAGCAACAGTTATTTTACTGTAGCTTATACAGGGCACAGCATGCAGATGAATCGCCTTACTTTTTGTGGCGTTTTCCCGCACAGTGCCGCTAGCCTTAGCGTGTTTTAGCTCTTTACTCCTGTCATTACACTGTACCGCATCATTCTGACCACCCGCGAGACTCATTCAAAACACAAAACCGCTTAAACCACAATAAGCCACTGAGGGGGAAACAATAATCAGTTACCATTCGTATTTTATCTCTCACCTTTTCATGATATCTCCTTGTCCTCTCCGCAGTTTGTGCCGCAGTGCTAAAAGATGCGATGGAAACAAAAAGGCACTGATGATGAAAAGTGACGCACTTTTCCTGCGACAAACACACGAGCGGAGGCTGTGCGCATAAAAGTGGCGTAGTGGAAACGGCAACGATCTGAACCATAGACTATAAACAGTAAATTATTGTGTCGTTTAGACTAAAGCTTCATTCTCCTCTTGTCCAGCCAACCAGGAATGTATTATCTTCAATATAAATGTAGTTGTCATGATATACCTCACTAGGTGTCAGCATTTGTTTGTATTTAGATCTTACCAGAACAGTCCATTTCTTTGTTGTTGTTTTTTGTTGATGTTGTTGTTTTGTTTTGACCAGCTGGCAGAAATAAAAACTGTTATTGTTATTGGAATAAAATAAATCACACATAAACAAACCCCTTTTGATTGCATGTACACAAAAATATAGCTGCAAGCAGCAATGATCAGCCCTCACCCTCTGCCACCCAGATCGGTAAAGCAGGTCACTGATGGGCACTTCACTTCTGTCAGTGTACACAAACTTTCCATTGTGGTAGTGTCTGCTCAGATATAAATATTTACTTGAAAATGTTGGTTGGAATATTATTGATTATTGATTTTATACAAGAGAAAGAGCCTTTCAAAGTACTACGCTTTGATCATTATTGATTCACTCCACTATAGGTCATGTTTAGATACTTCTATAGCCACAGCTTCCCTGGGGCAGCCTGACAGAAACAGGCTGCCGATCTGCGCTACTGGCCGCTATGACCGTCAATCACTCACTCTTAACGTATTCATGCTAGGAAATGTGGGTGAAGTATCTTGCTTAAGGGCACAACATTTTTTACTGTCCTAAAACTGTGAAAACCAGAACTATTATATTTCGGTTTGCAGTGGTCTTAAGTTATTCCTCACCCACTTTATTCACCCCCATGAGTTTATGAGCACTTTTACAACTTTCAGAGGCCAGAGTGGAGTTTTGCTGAGATGATAACTAAAACTTGCCTGCTAACACACACTTCTTGATTATAGGACAATAAAACACTTTATAATAAGATGCAGAGAGTACACAATATGCTCTGACCACAAAAGCTGCTTATACAGTACATCTGTACTGGGGAAGTCACATGCTCAAATACATGAGATGAAATCTCAGGTACAGGACCATTAATCCAATAGCACTGAAGGGTATGTCTAATGCAGAGAATTAAGTACAAGAGCATTTGACAGACCCACCATCACCAAGAAAAATTACACAATGCACCTTTAACTGCTAACACATAACATTTAGATCACCATGTTTCCTTTTATTGCTTTGAAAATGCTATTTTTGCCAAAAATTTATTTCACTTTTGTTTTTTGACATTTTAAGACTGCCCTCACTTTGCTGCCTGTGCTAAGTCACTCCCCCTTCAGAGCATTATCACAACACAATCTGTGTACATTTTGCTAATTAATTGCACATCAAATCAGGTTTGTCAAGTTCCTGTGTGTGGTTTAGTTTGGTTTTCTCTTTTTTTTTGTACTTTTTGTAAAGTACTCAAACATGCATGGATGACGTACAGTATATAAAACCTCTTCAGGCATGTTTTTGCTGAGAAAACATTATAATATGGTAGAAAACTAAAAAAAAAAAAAGATTTTGTGTAATGCCCCCTCTTTACTCATCATCTCATCAACCCTCATATTGTTGGACTGTTTTGGAGACATTTGACTTAAAGTTCAGGGGAGAAGAAAAAGTGAAACTAGGATTCTCTGTATTCAATTAAACATGAGGGTTTTATGGACTTTGCAATACAGATCCTCAGTGATGTTTGAAAGCAAAGAAACAAGAATATTCCACACAACCACAACCCCTTTACTGAGAGGAGACAGGATAACCGCTCTTCCACAGTAGTGATGTAGAAAAAATCATGTTTCAGTAAAAGATGAAAGAGAAGGCTTCTGGCAGCAATTAAAAATGACTATTTCCATGGACACATGGACGTGCCATTTTTATTTACTTTCTGAAATTGGAAATACTCAGAATTTCAATTTTGGGCATATTTTTGTGAGTTTTCGCCATTGTTCACTGGGAGAGAAATGGGGGATTGGTCCCCAGAAAAATAAATAATACAAAAAATTATACAACTCCGATACAAAGTCAGTGTTCCCCTTTGTATATGCATTAAAAAAAATTCTACATTTTTGGAAAACACTTGTGCATCCCTATGTCATGGTGTGGATGGCACACATACTAGAAAGCACTACACGCACAGACCATGGCAGCTATTGGATTTGGGATTTTTTTTTTTTTCTGTCCAGTAAGTGTGCAAAAAATAAGTAGACTATAGACTATTGACAAGTTTTTTGAAAATACTTATGGAAATCAATAAGCAAAACCACAATTTTTTCCACATATTTATCATATTATAACAAAGAGTAGGGCACTGCACATGTAAATTAAAATGGTTAAAGACAAAATAGCACACACATTGCTGACATGATTTAGTTCAAAAAAAGAAATCTTACAGTATGCTGTTCAATTTAAACAATTATACAAGGGCATCAATGTATAACAGTGGAAGAAGATGCAGTTCATTAAAGGAAATAACATATCTCAAAACTAAAAGTGATTTTTTTTTTTCAAGGTGAAAATGTCCACAGTCTATTTGTGCTTGAGATATTCTCAGCACATGGCATGAAAAAGGTTTATTTTCAAAAGTACTTTCAATACTCTTTACCAACTGCTTGTTAGCAATCAACAAACTGGCAGTAAATAAAATCATAGAATACATTTTGAAAAACAAAATTAGGTTTGGTTTGCACTGTGTGAAGAGACCACTTGGGGCCCAAGCCCTATGCTTCTCTCTCATCCACACATTATTATTAATGTCACATACAAGATGTGAGCATACTAGACCCCCTCTGCCTTTATCTCCATATCCTCTGCCTTGATCTCTATTACATTCCCATTGCCATTTCCATTGTTTCCACTGGGACAGTTTACCATGTTATTCCAAGTTCCCAACTCAAAAGTCTTTTCCTCCATTGGTTTGCCGATCCAGGCCCCATATCCTTGGACGCTGAGAGCCTGGAAAAACAGCCTTTTGGCTTTCTGGAAGTCCTCGGCCAAAATCTTGGCCTGAGCATACGAAGATAAGGAGAGGAGATCGCTGCGCCCAGATCTCTGACACAGAGCGCGAAAGAGGCAGAAGAGTTTGGCCTTACAAACCCGGGACACAGCCATTTTATTTCTATAAACAAAAGCTGTCATTAGACACTTGAAACATTTAAATGTTGGTTTTGATTTTCTGTTAAAACTGTTGTGCCACTTACCCATCCAGTTTGCCTTTGGTCCCGTCCAGCACCTCCACACAGTGCTGGTCTGGAAAGCTCCAGTTCACACTGGACTCTTTGGTCTTGCCTGTGTGTCGCGTGGAGTCATACACACTCACTCGTCCCACCTACAGCAGACAATCAGAGACAAAAACGAGAAAGGAGAGAAAACTCCATCAGATCATATTCAGTTTAACACAAGACAAGGAAGCAGAGCTTAGAGTGTGCTGATTGACAATCAGTGATAAATGAAACTTAGCAGTGCTTCTGTTTATATTGTTTTACCTCAGGGTGATTGAGCCTAAACGGCGATGGGGAGACTTTTCGCGAGTGCTTCTCCATCTCTCGCAAGTCGACAACAAACGGCTCGTGTCAGGTGCCCATGGCTGTACAAATAACCTGAGACACATAATTTCAAATCTAAAGATCCTGTCAAAGCCGACTTAATATTTGAATCAATAAGCTTGTAATTTACCCAGACTAATGGACTTTAGGTAGATAGGATGAACAAAATGAGACAGCAGCGCCCCCTGCAGTCCAAGCACATTCCAGCGGAGGATCTTGTCACTACAGCTCATGGTGCGCAGCCTCTCCCCGTGCTGAATGCCATCCCAGGTGGGCACAATATCACTCGACTCCACAGGGATGGTGCCTTCACCTGATACACACACACACACATTTGGAACTAGAAAAAAATCATCACTGCAAAGTGCAGACAGTCAGAGTTCTTATTACTCACCGTTCTCCACTTTAGTTCGTAGCTTGCCCTGTTTAGCGTTCTCAAAAAAGAGGCTGGTGACCCACCACTTCATCCCCCGCCTCACTGCAGGATTTGTCGAACAGAGCTCCGTCTCCACACGGTGCCGTGCTATGGGAAAGATGACAGCAAAAACACACAGGTAAAACACTGATGAATGAAGCCAATACAGAGGAGTGTGAAAGAGAAGATACAACATCTGATAGTCCCACCTGATGTAGAGGTGAAAGGTGATGTCAGATTTGATTCTCAGCTTGTTTTCTTCAGCTGGCTCAAATATACTGTCATCTGCTCCATCAAAGTGCCTGAGCAGCTCACTGTACAGAAACCTGAGAGCAGGAGAGAGGTACACTTGTACTGCCCTGCAGACTGTGTCTGACAAGCTAAGTATATTTAGAACTGGTCATCAAACACTGTAAAAAAAATAAATAAAATAGAGCTATTTTTACCGGACAAAGCCCCTTCTGGAGATGATTTCTGCATGGCAATCGTTAACCGTCTCGCCTTTAAGGCTCAGCTCCTCTCCTTTAACACAACGATTCCCTGATGAAAAAAAAAGCAAAGACACCGTCAAAGGACACAGCTACACAACACCACAAGGTCGTGTTCAGGCCCTTTTGGTTTGGATCAGAAAAGCACATTTATGACGCCTGTGCTTTTTAGGAAAGACACTGAACCCAATGTGAAGCTGTTTATACGCATGTCTATGAGGTTCTGTTTACCTGTTCCTAGGCTGACCACAGTGCCCAGGCCCTCCCCTCTCCTCATCACGATGGTGGCCAGAATCTTGCGTCCCAAAAGGCTGTGCTGTATACGTGTGGTCAGGGCATTGAAGCGCTGGTGACTCAACATGGCTATTTGGTCGTGTAAAGTGCTGCCACTCACTGGAAGCTATATTTAGACAAAGGGACAGTACAAACACAATCCATATGATTTTAAATGTACATTTGAAGTGTAGTGTCATGTAGTGCATGGATGAATGAGGAACAAAAGAGGTCATACCTCTGCAGGGATGAGTTCCCCTGTTCGTGCTGCTTTCTCAGCTTCTCCAATCAGTATCCTCAAAGCAGCATCTGCCGCCTCCTGTTTGCCCTGCTTCTTGTTGGAGGCACAGACGGGAGGAAACCAGCGCCCACCAAGTTTGGCCTGGTACGTGAACCTGAGCAGTGCAGATGGACAGTAAAAAGTTACATTTTAAAAGTTATTATTGACATTATATAGAGTGTGGTTCTCCAGTATTAGGTCATGTGCCACTAACTTTGGTTCATGGGCTGGTCCAGACTGGTCCACAAGTCGGATCTCTGCAGCAAACCCACGCGCTCTTGCATACTCCAGCAAGCCAGAAACTGCATTGTTGTTGAGATAGTTGATAAGGTCTCCCACCCCTGCCTCATGAGCCGCTCGCAGTGCATCTGCTGTCAGAGGGGGCAGAGGCAGACACGGGTTCCCAAAGGCTTCCTCGTCATTGGAAGTGCCCAGAGGAAAGTGGGGCTAACAGAATAAAAGAGTAGTGTTATTCAGGTTTCAGGGCAAGATTTTTCAAAACGAGTCTCTTACCTTGTTGGACTGCAGTCGTCCATCTGCCATTAGTTCTTTAACTGCCTCTTCTGCTGCCAGTTGGCGAGCTGCCTTTTTGCTTGGAGCCGAGGCTTCTGGGAACAACGTCTCTCCTATCTTGACCTGGTACATAAACCTGACAACAAACATTGTGTATTTAATTAAATGGTTATGTGCTCTAACTCGAGAAAGGGAATTTAGTATCAGTGTAATTTCTGCTTTAGTTTAGTTCAGTCATTATTTGAAGGGACAGTGACATCTCCATCTTCCCTCTTTGATGGTATTTGTTAGTACCTGGACCTGCTTTATATACCCACCCAGGGGGAGTATTCTTAGGTGCTTTCGTAAAGGTGTTTGGAAACTATCACACACTTTCACTCAGACACACACACAGTGTAACATAACTTGCCAATAATCAGTGAAAATATTGAGTAATTTCTCACATTACTTGTTTTAAATGTTTTGCCGTGTTATTTGAGCAGATGTGAAGGTGAAGCAGTTAGTACCTGGGGTCATGTGGAGGACCAGCCTGACCAGTCACAATGAACTCAATGGAGTTGCCACTGCGTTGGCTGTACTCCATCAGAACAGACACTGGATTCTTTCCCCCAGGAAGAGAGCGGGACAGAGGCTGCCGAGCCCCATCAGATGTCCTCATCTCCTCTCCACCGTCTGCTCCCAGCATGTCTTCAAGAGACCCCTAAAAAAACAAAATATTTTTCTCATAAACATTAAATGTACATTTGACCATTTAAGCTCTTGAGTTTTGTGATACTTACACTATCTGAAAATAGACCCGTAGCTTGGCCCACGTTGGCAGTGCCTCCCTCTTCCCCTGAGCCGGGCCCACCCTGCATCTCAGCAGCCAGCACTCGCAGAGCAGCTGCAGCAGCGTCTTTTTTTGCCACTTTTTTGCTTGAGGCCTCAGCGACTGGAAACAGTTTTCCACTCAGCATCACCTGCATGCGGAATCTTAAGCAGGCAAAATAAAAGAAAATCGTTGATTAAAAAACACACAGAAGACAAATTAATTTAAGACAAGCCCATACACAAAATCAAGGCTAACCTTGGGTCATGCGATGGTCCTGATTGGTCAAGAAGCAGGAACTCACAGCTCTCACCAATGAACTGAGCATACTCCATGAGTCCACTGACCGGGTTCTTCAGTTTAACCTCTTGTAACTTCCCCCAAAAGTTCTGTGGAGGTGGTGCAGCCAAAGACACTGCTACAATTCCCATGTTGTTGGCCTGAGGATTGGCCCTCACTGCATCCGTTTCTCTGCGAATGGTATTGAGGTACTCTGGGATTTCGTCAGTCGCCCACTGCCCTTCACTGGGCTCTTTAGCCTGTGGCAATGTGAAAGCTGATGCCTAAGGAAATAACAAGATGACCTTTAGTTGTCATGAGTGGACATAACAGAAATCTCTCATTTTAAAAAGATAAAAAACAATATTTTGCACATCACTTACAGCTTCTCTGTGGCCATTGTCTGAAGACCCCGCTTGCAGTGGCAGTGGTTCTAGACCCGGTACTGAAGAAGATGGCACAGACATAGAACAGCCTCCACTTTCATTTGTAGCACTTTGCTGTTGCAGTCCACTCTGACCTGAAGAGACTTCTTTGGCTTTGACATTTCTCTCCATTCTTTCTTTACGGTGAGGAGAGAGCTCCCAGGTAGGAGGACTTACCTCACCATTTTTGATGACTTCTCCTTGTTTTTCCAAAGCATAAAGTGTTGGGTTAACCTGCTTGGCACCCCTGAGCCCCAGATTCTTAGCAATAGTAAGAGATGTGGCCTCCCCCACACCCAGGAGGTATTGCAAAATTCCCTCTTTCTGATTTGCCATTGCTAAATCTGTGGAGTTTGTGCTGGTGCTGAGGATTGTCTTGGCTTTGAGACTCTTCGTCTAATGAGGAACAGGAAGAAGAACAACTAGATTCAATAATCACATCAGAGTCCTCTTCCCCCTCTTGATCTGTGCTTTTTGAGATGACCGGGGATTCCTCTTCAGGTTTTGGAGCGTATTCTGGGTTGTTATAAAGGTGACAGGGAAGACTCTGTACTTTTTGATCCTCGCTGTGCCTGTATAGACTCCACTCAGGAGGGTTAAGACCCTGCTTGCAAGCCTTTTGTGATTGTTCCAGTGAATAAAGCACTTTGTTGACTATCTTTTTGGGAAGATGTAACTTTTTAGCCAAGAATTTAGCAGGGATTCTTTCGTCTGGCTTCAAGGCTGCTAAAGCTTTGTATACCTGCTCTTGGATATCTGAGGTGAGGGTAATGCTAACTTTGCCAGAACTCCTGGTTGAAGGATATCTCTGCTGTTCTCTTATGTTGTGCTGCTTTTGCTGAATGGATAATGTCTGAAAAGTGTTACATATGGGATCTATAGCAGAGGACCATGACCTATTAGGGTATGGAGTGCTGTTTGTATTGGCTTGTAACTGGTAAGGATACACTTGCCCCTGACCTGGAGTAGACTGTGGGTGTCTAAACCTCTGGCCCTGGCTCCCCCTTCCCCTTTGAGCACTTTTTGGGAAGCTACTGTATCCTGCCTCCTGCTGATTTAGGGGCACAGATGACCCTCTTCCAGTAGGTCTGTATTCTGGTGCCTCTGAGCTTTTCCCTCTTAAGAATTCAGCTTGTTGTTGCTGAAAAGTCTGAAAACCGTCAGGGTGGCTGGAGACAGAGTTCGGTGAGCGACTCTGGTCTACAGTGTAGTGTGATGGGGGACTGGTAAACACAACAGAAGCGGCAGGACGGTTTGGGCTGGAGTAGTAATTCTGATATGCTCCCTGTCGGTACGGCGAGTTAGGTCCAGACCGGTAATAATCCTCTCTGGTTTGTCCGTGGGGTGAAGGATGCCGGAAATAGTGTTTATTATAGGGCCCTCCTCTACCTCTGCTCATATCGCAGGGGTGGGATTAAAAAAGTACAGGGCTTGTAGCTGCGTGACTTCACTACCTCTTTTTACACTGATAGCAAATCTTGAGATAAGTTCAGCTTGTTGTGGCTTGGAAATACCTGAAAGACAAAGCGAAGAAAAAAAAGTCAGGAATTCAGAAAATAAACAATTAAAAGCGTTTAAATTAAACAGTGGTTGACAAATAAGAAATAAGGAAACGCTTAAATCAGAAAAGTGATGCTTGAACTTAAATAGTGTGATGTGAACAATACAAGACCTATTGACAGAGCAAAGAGAAAACTGACCAGCTGTCCTACAAACATACAGCAGGGTGACTGTCTCCCCCAGTCCTCCTGAAACGTAAGTCTAGGCCAAAGCGACGGCGGCAATTAATTATTTACGTCTTTGCATGACTGTTCCTGGCTGTTCAAAATAACACCAGATATGGATGCTGCTGACAAATGAAACGTGATACATTTAAGCAGTAAGGCACAGAGGCAGAGTGGCTTAGCATCTGGCCTCACAACCAGCAGTTTACAGGTTTGAATCTCAGATCAAGTGGAGTGGCAATACCTAAATAGTTACAAGTCCATTCCAGCTGGACAATGGACAGTAGTGCACTCTTCCTGAGAAAGGGACATTGATTACGCCTCAAGTGTCATATTTAACATTGCTCGATGTTGTCTATAGGAGCGACATCATCAACAAGAGCACAGCCAATATTGAGTCAGGTTACACCACCCTGCAACAGTTTATCACATGAATATGCACTGACAGACCAAAAGGAAACAACCAATATCTACAACTTCTATTACTCCTCTGTGTGGAGACTTAGGGAGAAATTATGAGAAACCTGTTTTGAAATAAAAGATGGCTTTACGACAGAGATAAACAATGATCAAGTTTAAACGTAAAAAAGGACCTTGCAAAACAGGTTCTACGTTTTGGAGAAAAAAAATCTTACCCAGAGTGTTGCATTGTCTATTGGTTGCTATTAAGAAGAAAAGAAAAAAAAAAGTTAATCGTTTCTATCTTCTAAACACACAATAAAGAAGCTGATTTCACGAAGCTTTGATTTTGCGTGATGTGCTTATTTCCAGTGAGCCAAATCTTCCGCGTTGAACCTACCCCGCCTCCAGTAAATCCAGATTCTACAGTGAGAGCGACAGAGAAGGTGGCTTTCTTATAAGACCTGGTTGTGAAATGATGTAAACCGGTTGTAAGAGGTCACAAAGCTAAAAGACACGCAAATGGCTGATTAAGGCTAGGGAACGGGAAAGGAAAGCGCATTGTGAGTTTCGTTTTCATTTTTAAGGAAAAGATAAGTTTCAATAGTGGTCACGTGACAGAATGATGCGATTAAAAATGCGTAAAGTATGTAAACACAAAATAAAAAAAAAAAAAAAACATTAACCACCACTGTCAACATTTAATTTACATACTTTTTTAGTTTATTCAAGCTCGCAAACAAGGATTTACGGTGAGGGGGGAAAAGAAGAGATGTCACGTGACTAGATCGGATTCTGCCATAAAAAAACGAGGAGTAGGAAATTTATGGAGTGTGCAACTGCAACATAATACGATAGTCCCCACGGTGAGGTCTGAAATCTTACCACTATATTCTGAGAGGATCGGTGAACGCTAGTATGATGAACAGAAGGTACGTGAAGGTCACTGAAAACATAGGGAGAAATGAATAATCTAATCCCATTGCATGTCCTGACGCATTACCCGAATTAAACTCCGTTGCAGGGCGTCGCCTGCTTGACCCTTGGTATAAAAATAGAGGTAGTTCATTATGTTACTTCAGAAATGCGTACATTAAACAGAAGGGGGAGGGCAGTACCGTATAGAGTCATTTATCACGAACTTCGTCTCATACATGTGGAGTCAGGGAGACCTATGCATCTGCAGAAAGAAACAGCTTACGCCACAGAACAGCAGCGGCTCATCAAGTTTATGACTTCCTTTTTAGTCACAGTAAGGAAAAAAAAAAAAAAAAAACTAATCAAAAATGTGTTTAAAATAATGACTATGGTAAGAATAATGCAATAACAGAAGTGAGTGCCATTACTCAGACACTAATATTCTTCATTGACAAAAAGTGATGATTTCAGAATTGTCAAAATTGCATAACTTAGTAATAACCAAATACAATGTCCAGCTGTAAAACTAAAAACAGCAAATAACAGCGGCTATTTAACAGGGTTCCCACTGTTTTTCACTGACAAAATTTCTAAACTTTTCCATGACTTTTTCATGACCTAAGGTGAATTTTTCATGACTTTACAGCGCCTACATGTGTAGAATTGAGCATACTTTTAGGGCTAAATATGAAATGTTAACCCTTTCCACTCACCTTATGGATTGGTATTATAGTTTTTTAACATTCAAAATCCTGTCAATGCATTTATTGTCATTTCTTTTAAACAAAAGGCGCACATGTGTGGAAAAAATCACAATAGCCTAATGATAACTTAATAGAACACTTTAGTTGCCTGAAAATGATACTAAAATTCCATCCCAAACTTTCATTGAATTCCGTGACTCTTCCAGGCCTGTAAATTGACATATTCAATTTCCATGACTTTTCCAAGATTTCCATGAACCCTGATTTAATAGCACTGATCACAAACACACAAAAGGAGGAATGGACACTACAGTGAGCACATGTCCTTCTTTTGGTTGTCCTCCTCCCTGTACTCCGTTTTACATTTATTCACTGATACAAATATAAATATATAAACTTTCGGGGTTGTAATACTGTATGTTGACACCTTTTGCTATTCCAGTCTCTCTGTGCATTACAATTTATATAAAAAAAATGAAAATTATATGTTGCCATGCCAGTTAGTATAATGTATTCCGTCCCTCCATGTCCCCACTACATTTAGAGGTCAACTCTTTTTCTACAGTTTGAGGTGATATTGGTCACACAAACAGACAAACAGACAGCATCAGAGCTTGAGCAGAGCATCCTCCGCACAGAGCACAGACCGAGCGGCTAACATGATGCTAGAACATGATGCTAGCTCACTATTTCTGCACCGAACAACCTCCCACAGCACCAACAGCATCACCGTCACTGTTATCTCATTTACGCAACGCTGTCCGCCATTTAAGCAACAGTACAGTGCAGATGAACCCTCACCATTTCCCCACTCACCTTTACTCTGTCTTTCGTTTGCGTTTCTTTTGCCGCAGGATTTAAAACCAGCGACAAAAACAAAACGAATGGATGGGCGTGACGTCATCCACACGCGACAACAACAAATCACACGTCGCGTTTTAGAGACGCGACATAAAAAAAATAATAAGTTTAAAAAATCCATTATGAATTATTATTATTAAAAAGTACAGTTTATATTACTGATGGATAGAAAACAGCATAAAATATTATCCACGTATTATTATTATTATTATTTTGTATAATTTGTCAAATTTAAGGGATTGGATACCCAGCACATCCACAATAAGACAGACATAACTAAACACACATAAAAATAAATAAATAAATAAATTTATTATTATTATTATTATTATTATTATTATTATTATTATTATTATTATTATTATTATTATTATTATTATTATTATTAATAATAATAATAATAATAATAATAATACATAAATAAAAATAAATAAATACAATAAATAAGTAAAGTTTTTTTAAATTATTGTCATTATTATTATTATTATCCACGTATTATTGATTTTGCAACGTAAAGATTTTGATTATTATGTCAGGCTAACGAAAATATCCACTAGAGGGCAGCATTGTTGTTTTGATGCGTGAAAATCAAACTAGAATTTTTAAGGCATGAGATGCAAAGATAAACACCAGCCTACAGCAACTGCAGCAATGTTTTTTTTTTTTTTACTGCGTGATAAATCCTTTAGCAGATTTTGCCCATAAAAGGTACGGTTTCGTTGGATAAAAAATAAATAATTTAAGCACTCTGAACACAGAAACATAAACCAAGAATGTACAGCAAAATCAGGTGAATAGTGTGACTTGCATCATACTTGTTGGTGAGAATATTCCTCCATTCTATGCATAACCCACTCCCTCCCTCTCCCCTCAGCACATTTTACGCTCTGGCTCCTCTATCAGCAGCATCACACTCAGCAGCCCCCTTACAATTCCCTTCTCTATCTCTCCTCCTCTCACCTCCTCAATGGCTTTTCCTTTTACATTAATACAGAGGGATGAAGCATGAAGTCGGTTGGGACTTTGGGGATGCTGATGGCTGCAACACTGCTACAAGGTGAGTGACTTTTGAAAATTTGTTAAGGAGATTAAGTGTTAGTGACTGTGTGATATAATGTTCTGTTGAATGTTCGCACTGAGTTTGATAATGACACAGTGGAAGCCCAAACTCAGAGGTCCTTTGCTTAAGAGGCTCACAGGAAAATATAGTGCTTAATCAGCACTATAGCTATGCATTGATCTTTTCTAATGCTGTGCGGTGCATTTTGGTGAAAAAAAAAAAAAGAATAAAGCAGGTGAAGAATAGGAAAATGTATCAAACAACTGCTTTTAAACTTTGAGATTGCCCTGTTTATTTCACATGTTTGATAGGGATCTTGGGAGTTGTTTTTTTCCTTTGCCCTGGTGTGTTCTGCTGAAGAAGACAGGCATGTTTACAACAGCGCATAAGCAGCCTGCATCAGAGATAATTGATTAAGATTAGCAGTCACTATCTGTCTTTGTCAGTTACACGTGCCTGGTCTGCCCCACAGTGTTCAATTACCTTTATGTGCCGCCCATATTTATTGCATTTTGTCTTGGTGACCACTTCAAAATGTAGAATTTGGGGCACATTGGTGACTGTGGTTGGAAGGACAAGAGAAATTTAAGCTCATATAATAACTGCAACACCAAATTATTTTCTCTTTTTGTCAGTTGTAACAGACAAATTGCAGTATAGGCCAACATATAACCCAGAATACTAGTACAAAAGTAAAAGTATTGATTTCTTTCAGAGAATGACGTATTCATGGGCTTCAGATTCCTGTTATGCAACAATTTGAGGACTTTTTCCCATTCAAAAACACTATTAATAGTTTGCTAAAATGCTTTTTTAACATTCTGAAACCAAGGATATTATCATACACATAAATCAAAATTTATATACAATTCATGTGGCATCAAGTGGAACATTCTAAGATGAGGAACAGGGTCATAAATAGCTGTGCAGGGCAACCTAAAGCGTTACAGGTGATAGTGAGTGACAGAGCAGTTTCACAGCTATTTTCTATTTCTCATTTTCTCTTCACCTCATGTTGCAGTGTCCATGCAGGGTCCTCACCAGCGCTTCCTGTTAAAGAAGCTGCTGAGGGACTATAACCCGATGGAGCGACCGGTGGGCAACGACTCCCAGACCCTCACAGTGCACTTCTCCTTCACACTCATGCAGGTGATGGATGTGGTAAGTGAACAAAAAACACTACAACTATAATGCACCACTTCTGTCCTCCAATCATTTAAAGCTGCACTATCTCATTTTTGGTGAAGAGTATGCCACATGCTTGTCTCCAAGGAGATGTAATTACTTTGTCTGGAATTTTCCACAGTATGACATTAAACTTCTCCATCTGTCTCTTCCGTATCTTTTCAAATATAGATGTTTTTGTTGCTAATAAAAACAGGCAATCTTACTGTGAGCGGGGTTGCTTCTCCAATGATCTGACCTGTTACTCGGCCTGGTGGTGTTGTGTTGTGGGGAAAAAAATAGTTTAAACGTTGAATGAAAATAAAAAAAATTCTGAGTCAAAGAGTTGTTTTTGAGGTGGATTTTAATTCTTTCCAAAGCTAGACAACACAGAATCTGATGTATCTGGTGTTTTTCCATTTCAGTGTCTATTTGGAGAAGTTTAATCTGTGGATCATTCATTCATTCGTTTTTCAAAATTAAACCAAAAATAAGAAAATGAAAAATCTAATATTTTCTTCATTATTTGTCTCCAAAACCAAAATGAAAAAAACAGATAACGATTTGTTTTTTTAAATTTTCAATTTTGTGTTTAAATGAATAAAGGAAAAAACAGACAACGGCTATTTCCCGTTCCCATGACTTAAACTGCGAAGCTGGACTTTTACACCACATACGGACTGAACCAGGACTAAAACAGGACTAAACCAGGTCTAAACCGAGACTGAACCAGGAATGTTGTGATGGCCCGGAATTGCACCCGTGTACACTGTCGGATGATCAGGACTGAGACCGAGACCAGAGCAGTACTGAGACCGAAACCAGAACGGGACCAGGACCAGGTCTGAGACAGAGACTGAAACCAGGACTTAGACTGGGAACAGACCGGGACAAGACCAGGACTGAGACAAGGACAGAGACAAGGACTGAAACCGGGACCAGACCAGGACTGAGACCAGGACTGAGACCAGTTTATTTCTGGTTTAGTCCTGGTTCAATTTTGGTTTAGTCCTGGTTTAGACCTGGTGTGGTCCTGTTTTAGTCCTGTTTTAGTTCTGGTTCAGTCCTGGTTCACAGTCACAGAAATGTTCTTTTTCCCATTATTAATTTAAACACAAAATCGAAAACTAAAAAAAACAAATCATTATTCGTTTTTTTTCATTTTGGTTTTGGAGACAAATAATGAAGAAAATTGTTGTTTTTTAAATTTTCTTATTTTTGGTTTTATTTTGAAAAACGAATGAACAAATGATACATGGATTAAGTTTAATGTCATACTGTGGAACATTTCAGACAAAGAAATGCCATCCCTGTGTAGCAAAGAAGATGACATACTCTCAACAGAAAAGTGAAAGTTTAGGAATGCACTTATAATATAATTGGTGACCCCCACTTGTTGTTACAGGATGAAAAGAACCAGATACTGACCACAAATGCTTGGTTACAAATGGTGAGTTGACTGTAACAATAAGGAACATTCTTATGCAGAGTGAAATTATTGTAAATTAAATCATGTTTGCTGAGTTATTATTGAAAAAAAAAAAAAGACAATTAAATGATTATATATTCCTTATCTGTGCACTTTATGCTTTGTGACTCTTAGCAGTGGTATGACCATTACTTAAAGTGGAACCAGTCAGATTATCCTGGAGTGAAGAACCTGCGTTTTACCCCTGACCAGATCTGGACTCCTGACATTCTGCTTTACAACAGGTGAGGAGGAGTTGCCATGGCAATTATCAATATTAAGACATTCATAAGGTGACTGTACACTTTATTTTTCTGTAGCGCTCATGATAAATTTGATGCAACTTTTAAAACAAATGTCCTGGTGAATTCGAGTGGCTTCTGTGAATATCTGCCTCCAGGTAAGAGTTTTAATCACGTCTTTCTGACATAAATACTTTATGATTTTACCTTGTATGGCTATAGTCACACTTGTCCTGACTTGATTCCTTTTTAGCACTAAATGTAGACTTGGGTTGGTTCTCTGGTAGTTCAGATTTAGTCATGGTCTAGTTCAGGTTTAGTTCCTTGTTTAGGCTTGTTTAGGTGATGTGGTGGAATGGTATTTATCACATTGTGGAGACTAAAATCTGCATGCACAAACTCACATCATCACTGTCTTTTGTATGTGGAAAAAAAAATCTGTTCATCATGATGTAAATCGTTTATGAATAGATCAGCAACATGGTGGTTTAAAGTTCAAATATGGGTTAAAATAGGTTACAGTTTGGATTTGGGTCTAGCTTAAGTTCAAGCAAACAGTGACTATGATTAAGGTTTGGACCAGTGTCTAGAAAATGCATTTAAGTTGATGTAATTTTGAGTTCAATTTTCACATGTTACAGGATACACTGTGTGCAGTTGTATTTATGAGTATTCATTTTATAATTGGACAACTACGGTGCTGTCAGTCAATCCAAAATGTTAATAAACCTCAAACCTGAATATTTAAGAAAGTTTTGGCTTTCTTAGGAGAAAATCTACATGTGCGCAATTATTGGGCAACTATTAATGTGCAGAATTATTACACAACTAAATGAAAAATTTTCCATTAGCACTTGTTTATTTTCATCTGTCAGAATAGTAAATAATTTAAAATGTACACATAAACATTTCTGACATAAAAATAAGTAAATAAATAAAAATCAGTAACTAATATAGACACTTTTCTTCTCAATATTGGTCATAAACCTTCCATTCATGGAGTCTGTCAGTTTCTCGATCTGTTGACAATCAACATTTTGTGCAGCAGCAACCTCAGCCTCCCAGATGCTGTTCAGAGAGATTTACTGTTTTGCGTCAGTTTAAATCTCCTGTTTAAGAAGTGCCCACAAGTTCTCAATAGGGTTTAGGTCAGGTGAGGAAGGGGGGCATTATTTTTTCATCTTTAAGGCCTTTACTGGCAGGTCACGCAGTGGAGTACTTTGATGCATGTGATGGAGCATTGTCCTGCATGAAAATCATGGTCCTCTTGTTAGATGCAGACTTTTTCCTGTACCACTGCTGGAAGAAAATGTCTTCTAAAATCTGGCAGTAGGTTTTGGAGTGCATTTGAGTCCATCTTCAACCCGAAAAGTTTCAACAAGCTCATCTTTAATAATACCAGCCTGTACCACGACCCCATCTTCACCTTGCTGGCGTCTGAGTCGAACTGGAACTCTGTGCCCATTACTGATTCAGCGATGGGCCCATCCATCTGGTCCGTCAAGAGTCACTCTCATCTCATCAGTCCATAAAACCTTTGCAAAATCTATCTTCAGATATTTCTTGGCCCAGTCTTGATGTTTCAGCTTATGCTTCTTGTTCAGTGATGGTCGGGTTTCAGCCTTCCTGCCATGTCTCTGAGCACTGAACTCCTTGTACTTCAGGGCACTCCACTCTCTTTTTTTTTTTGAAATGTCAGAAATGTTTATTTGTAAATTTTGGGTTGTTTACTCTTCTGACAGATGGAAATAAACTAGTGAGAAAAGAAAATGTAATTTTTTTATGTAGTTGCCCCATAATTGTGCACACATAGATTTTGAAGAAGAAAGCCAAAACTTCACTTTTACTTTCTTAAATGTTCAGGTTTAAGATTTATAAACATTTTGGATTAACTGAGAGCACTGTACTTGGTCAATTACTAAATGAATCCTCATAAATACAACATGCCTAATAACAAGTGTGAACATAGCCTACAAAATCAAATGTAAAATCAGAGCCTCCCATCTTAATTTTGACCATCCTCTGTTTCAAAGCACTTTTTGTAATCCTTCAAAGGGATATTTGTCAGCACCTGTAGCGTCGACGTTCAGGTGGTTTCCATTTGACATCCAGCGTTGTGAGCTGAAGTTTGGCTCCTGGACTTTTGATGGATGGCTGCTCGATATTCAGATGAAAGAGGCAGATGTGTCTGGATACATGCCCAATGGAGAGTGGGACTTAATAGGTAAAGTCACTGCCAATGGGTTTCAGAATTAACTTCATATGTTTTATTCACAAAGAATTTGCCTACGGCAGGGATCCCCAACCTTTTTCCTCTGCTGTTTACCTTTACAAAACGGAAATGCCAAAGAGTTAACTCATTTTAGCACTCGCAAGAAACTGAGTAAGAACCACAGCAAGCCTTAGCTGGGGGACTGTTAGATGCATATAAAACACAATCCATTATCCATTTATTAGTGCACTAAGAAGGCATTAAAATCATACATTTACAACGGTGAGAGGAATTTACTTAATCAGATTAATTATTGAGTTATTCAGCACAAAATGTATAATTCAGAAATACTTGGGACTTGGAAGAGGGTGGAGAGCTACTGGCTGGTCCAGGCTCCTGCCGTAAGAATAATTCTGTAAGGTTTGGTGAAAAAAGAAAATAGTTAAGTATTATTTTGTTTACACTGTATCGGCGCATTCCACTTGACAAAAATATAGCTGAAATTGCAAACCACTTAGGCAATTATTGTGTTTTCCATTATAGTATGATGATGACGATAAAATCTCTATCTAAACTAAACACTAAATTAATCACGCCTTAGTGATGGACCCCATATATATATATATATATATATATATATATATATATATATATATATATATATATATATATATATATATATATATATATATATATAGATAAGTTTCTCAGCTTCCTTGGAGTCCATGTTTTTTTACAGTTAACACATATGGCCATACATAATATACACGTCAATTGTATGTGCATATTTACATATACGTATAAATGTGTGCCTCTTATATTTTAACACTGTGGAAAAAAATTTTATTGAATTGAACTGAATCTCAAGTTACATAAAAGTCAGATTTTTAGAGGTCCTATAGTTCATAAAATTAGCTCTTGTGAGATTTTAGCCATGTTAAAATATTGTTACATCATCAAAACATACCGAAGTTTTATGGTGTTTTGTTTCATTTACACATGTTTGAGTAATATTTTATTATTCATCTGTCCACATCTCCAAAGCTCAATGCTCCAAGTGCTCTGTTCCACCTTGTGATGTCATGAAACAGTAGTTTTCAAGTTAACAATTAAATTTTACCTTCTGTTTCATAAATATACGTAATTCCAGGGCTGAAATCATCCAAATGATTCTAGTGATGGTGTATGAAGTTTTGAAAACACAGTGGAGCACTTCCTGTATTACCACATGACATCACAAGGTGTAACAGAGTGTTTTCTTTTTGGCAGAAGAAGAAATATGCACGGTTTGTGTGTTAAACATGTGTGAAACAAAACACAAATCCAGGTATATTTTTGATAAGGAAACAACATTTTAACACAGAACAATAAAATTAAAAAATATAATTGAGCTTCTCTGTGTGTCTTCAGGAGTCCCGGGAGACAGAAACGAGCAGTTCTATGACTGCTGTGCCGAGCCTTATCCAGATGTTACGTTTGTGGTAACGCTACGAAGAAGGACTCTGTTTTATGCTCTGAACCTGCTCATCCCCTGTGTGCTCCTCTCCTCCATGACACTGGTGGTTTTCCTGCTTCCTGCAAATTCTGGCGAGAAGATTAGCCTGGGTAAGGGAAAGATTTTAGTTAGACAAATTGTAATGATCCATGAGGAAAATTACTTGGTCACAGTATAGCAAAGATCCAGTTTTGAAACACTAGTAAAAAATTTTAATACAGTATGAAGGAACCATCCCCATTTGTTGTTGTTGTTCTTATAGAAATTCAAGGCAACTAGATAATACACAGCGAGAGTGAATGAATAAATGAATGGAGAAGTGAATGAAATGAAGGTTGCCACGTAAACAAAATTGCATGTAAAAATGAAGATATTTATTTTTTATAACTCAAACACAAAAGTCTAAAAGCTTTGTATTGTGTATCTCATGTTTATATCTCCTGTTTCTTATGTCTTCATGCAGGCATCACCGTTCTTCTCTCTCTCACTGTCTTCATGTTGATGGTTGCAGAGATAATGCCGGCCACTTCTGATTCTGTTCCACTCATAGGTCAGAAAAACTTACTTCTAAATTTAAAACACAATCAGGCACAATCATCTAAAGTAATGGTTGCTTGTTGGGGTTGCTTGATTTGTTTTTAATTGTACAGTAAAGGTTGGTTAAAACTGGCCATGTGGCAAAAATTACTACTTTTAAAGATCCAAGGTCACCATTTTTGATTCATCACGATGCATACATATTCAGCTTTATAGTACTGGAGGCTGGCCAATTCATGTTTTTTGCAAGTAATTCCTCTCTGATTTGAAGACCATTCCCCACTGAAAAGATATAATATTTTCTTTTTAATTGCCCATTGCCGTAACTTGAAATCCATGAATAGGAGAAAAAGTAGATGGCATATTTCCATGTGAAAGTGTGAGACTCATTAAACAAAGTAGTTATTTTAGACAGACTGGACTGGCGAAGAGTTCACAATTTGATTTAATCTCCACCTCTAATTAGCAATAGACATACTGTATGTACGTTAAATTGTCACTGAACTGAAATTTAAAGGTCCTATATTATGCGAAATTGACTCTCGTGATCTTTAAGCCATGTTAGAATGTATTTACTTCCTCAGAAACAAACCCAGAGTTGTGTTTGGTTTCTTTTACACATGTTTGAGTAACCCTTTATTTTTAGTTTGTCTACATCTCCAAAGCTCAAAATGCTCTGTTCTACATTGCAATGCCATGAAGTGGTAGTTTTTGAGTTCGGCTTTAGCTTTCTTTTGCTTTTGTTTGGTAGAGATGGCAATTGTAGGGCTGAAATTATCCAAATGATTCTAGTGAAGGTGTTTTGAGTTTAAAAACACAGTGGAGCACATGACTTACAAAATGGAACAGAGTATTTTCAGTTTGAGAGAACACAGCAGCCTAACTATGCAGGATTTAAAATGTATGAATGAAACAAAACACAACTTAGGGCATGTTTTTGAGGCGGTAAAAACATTCTAACATGGCTTAAAGTTCACAAGAGTAAAGTTTGAATATAATATAGGACCTTTCAATTTTAGTTCAGTGACAATTTACGGTCCATACAGTATGTCTGTTGCTCATTAGAGGTGGAGATTAAATCAAATTGTGAACTCGTTGCCAGTCCAGTCTGTCTAAAATAACTGCTTAAATGTTTAATGAGTCTCACACTTTCACATGGAAACACGCCATCTACTTTTTCTCCTATTCATGGATCTCAAGCTGTGGCAATGGGCAATTAAAAAGAAAATATTATATCTTTTCAGTGGAGAATGGTCTTCAAATCAGAGTGGTTGATGAAGATACAAGATTATAAAATAATATGGATCAGAAAATAGCATAATATGGGTTATTTAATATATATATATTTTTTTAAATATATTTTTTTGTTTCTCAGGCCAGTACTTTGCCAGCACCATGGTGATCGTGGGCATGTCCGTTGTAGCCACGGTCATTGTTCTTCAGTTCCACCACCATAATCCCAACAATGGACCCATGCCGCGCGTGGTGAGCTCATACTGTTTTGTAGAGTTTTTTCACATATACATTTTGTTCGTTTATGGTTATGTAATGTAGCAGCTGTTCAGTAAAATAACAATAATAAAAGACAGTATAAAACAGAATGGCAATAAAATGCATAAAAGAAAAAGGAGGAAACGAAAATAGGACACGGAGGAATACACAACTCATGCAAGGTTAAACGCCAGAGGATAAAATTTGTCATGATCATTACTATATCGTCTTGTCTTTCGATAAATGACAGCTGGAACAATATATTTTGAAGCTCAGTTTTTATTGTGTGTACATTTTCTATGCACTAGTGGAGAGATTCTTCTGTAATACAATAATATTTTAGCTGTGATTATCCTGCTTTGTTGTTATTGTGTAATGTAAGCCAGTAGTATTTTTCAGTAACTTTTTCTGTGTTGTGTGCCAGCTGCACCTGGTCCTGCTCCAGTGGGTTCCCTGGTTCTTACGGATGAAACGTCCAGGGGAGAACGCTGACCCGTCTCTGCCCCACAGCTCTGGGGACGTGCAGAGCAAAAGTCTGGCCTCTCCGACCACCACCACCACAACCACCACCACCATCCCCACGCCTGTGCCTTCAGTGCTGCCGCAGAGCCTCACATCGTTACAGGTAGGTAGTGTTAAAATACTGTTGGAGGAGAGACCATTTTACTCTTATGTTGGTGACACCAGGACTAAAAAAGTTTAATCTTTAATTTAACTTTTTGTTCATAATATCTGATACATGTACAGAGGCCGCGCTACCATTAGGCAAAAGTACGTGGCTGCTCAGGGCCCCCAAACCTGGAGGGACCCCCAACCAACTGCGAGACTTCAGAGCAATTAGATTTTCTCTCAGTATGACATTAAATGAGAGTAATGTACTTTTAAAGAAGAATCATAAGAAAATTAATAATCATCATATTGGATTATTGGATGTAAACAAAAATGTAATTGTTCTGGCAAAAAAAATAAAACTACTTTCAGTTCTGGTTATTTAGTAGGCGACCTAACTAATAAGACAAGTTTCCAATCCATCATAATTCAAATAAATAAAACAATGTCTCAAGAGCAATGGGGAAAAACAGACAATAAATACATTAAAAATACAAAAATTGGTGCATTATAGTGAGGGCCCCAAACTCAAGTTCGCCTAGGAACCCCACATTGCCAACTCCGCCACTGTACATGTTGCCACTTAGGCTACGTTCAGACTGCAGCCTGAAGTGACCCAAATCCCATTTTTTGACCCCTATGTGACCTGTATCTGATCTTTTAATGACAGTCTGAATGACACATATCCAATTTTTTCAAATGCGACCCAGGCCACTTCGATATGTGGTCCTGAAACCGATACATACCGATTTTTTGTCATGCGACTTCAGTCTGAACGGCCAAAGCGCATTCATCTGACCTACACGTCATCAACGAGCCACAAATGTCACTATTCTGCGCTGAAGTAGACGAAAATTGTTAATGAAATCCGTGTCACTGAAGTGAAGCACATCACCACTCACCACTCTTGGCTACGTCTCCACATCCACACGTTCCTTTCAATGGACGTTGCTGCCACTGCCCCACAAAACACCACGGCCAAAAACTTCGTCCTTCTCCTTCTCAATCTCCCCCTTAAAACAAGTAAGTTGTTCATGTTCTGGCTCCGGTACGAGAGGAACTTTAAAATCTCCAGGTGCTCAATGCTCCATGTTTGGACAACTTCCGTAAACACAGAGCACGCTCGCTGCGGTTGACGTCATCGGGTCCTCCAGTGCGCATGCGGGCCTTTTAATGTTCACAATGGACATCACATACAAGTCGCATTTAATTAGAAATGTGAATGACCTCGCAAAAACATCGGTATTTTACAAAAAAATCCGAATTGAGCGTTAAGCCCTGCAGTCTGAACGTAGCCTTAGTTTAATGACCTTACATTTGTTTGAACTTGAACATGAACTACAAGCTTGCCAAGTTTCTCAAAGCACCATTAGGGGTTCTAATTATGGTTGACCTAATTTCATGAACATATGCTGTTTTCAATTAAAAATAGATTAAAGGTCCTATAGTCCTATATTATTCAAAATAGACTCTTGTAAGATTTTAGCCATGTTATAATGCTTTTTCCTCCTTAAAAACATACCTGGAGTTGTGTTTTGTTTCATTCACATGTTTGAGCAATCCTTTATTTTAGTCTGTCTACGTCTACGAAGCTAAAGAAATAGTAAAGATTGGCAGTTCTAAGGCTGAAATTATTTAAATTATTCTAGTGAAGTTGTATGGAGTTTAAAAACACTTTATTACCACATGACATCAAGTGGATCAGAGTGTTTTCTGAGAGAAAACTAAATATCCAGGGTTTCAAGATGTGTGAATGAAACAAAATAAACTCGAGGTATGTTAGTGATGAGGAAACAACATTAGAACATAGATCAGAAAATAGCATAATAATCATCTTGCAAAATACTGTGCAGCTCTTACGATTATATTATGACCTGTTGAATTATGATTATCAAATTATCAATCCATCTTGAAATCCCTAATTACAGGCAAGTCTGGCTCAGCTGAATCACCCCCTGTCAGCCCACCGCCCCAGCACTCAGCCAGTTGTCCTCCCCAACCACAACAACAACCGTGACTCCATGCCCAACGGTCACCTCCCCTACATGGGCTTTCAGTCGTTTCAGAACACCAGCGAGATCGAACCGGTGCAGAGGAACAGAACCACCAGCCACGGGAGGCCTCACTGCGGCTTCGGCCCTGGAGACAGTGAAGGAGCTGCGGGAGGAGGAGGAGGAGCTACAGGAGACACGCCCACACATAACAAACTAAACTCCCCACACGAAACGCCTTTGACTGTCGACCCCGAGCCCCCCGCTGGGTCGTCCATGGGGGCGGGTGGTCTGGAGGCGGCGGGTGGAGCAGGGGGGAGAGCCAGTCAGAGCACCAGTGTAGTCACGTCTCGTTCCGGGGCAGTGGACAACCAGCTGAGGGCCCTTTTGGGAGAGGTGCAGTACCTGGTGGAGAGGGTTCGGGAGCAGGACCGGCAGATGAGTCTGGTGGAGCAGTGGCAGTTTGCGGCAGCTGTGGTGGACCGTCTCTGCCTGGTCGGGTTCAGTGTTTTTAACATTATTTGTACGATAGCGATTCTCATGGCAGCGCCCAACTTTGGGGAGGCGCTGTCCAAAGACTTCCTCTGAAAGACACGGAAAGAATCAGCGAGTTTTGTTAAAAGCACAATTTCCAATTATTATTTTTTAAATGTTTTTAAACCTATTTCAGGGGTGTCCAAACTTTTTTTTTTCTCATCAAGGGTCCAGTTATAAAGGACATATATTACACTATTTTGTGTTTTCTCTGTTATACTGTTGTTTCCTCATCACAAACATACCTGGAGTTGTGTTTTTATCACACAAACCCTGCATATTTTCGTTGAGTTCCTCCTTGTGATGTCATGTGGTAATACAGGAAGTGCTCCACTGTGTTTTTAAACTCCATATACCTTCACTGGAATCATTTGGATGATTTCAGCCCTGGAATAAGTAATCTCTATTAAACAAAAGGTAAAATGTTGCTGTTAACTTGAAAACTACCTCTACATGAAAACACAAGGTAGAACGAGCATTTTGAGCTAATAAACGGTTTCTCAAACATGTGTGAATGAAACAAAACACAACTCCAGGTATGTTTTTGATGAGTGACCAAAATTATACTGGCTTGAAGCTCACAAGAATCAGTTTTGTGTAATATACTGTAGGGCCTGCAATATTACATTATAGTCAAAAGTGAAATTTTTTGTTGAAATAATGTACAGAAGTAATGTCCCAATATGCCTTAGCAACACAGGTGTGTTCTAGCCCAAAATGGTAAGAAATAAAATTGCCACTTTGTCACTTATAATTATTTGGGCCAAATCACCCAGAAACCTGAGGGTTGATAAAATATTTCCGTTGGGACCTACATTTGGACCCTGGGCCATCGTTTGGACACTCCTGCTTATATAATGGACAAGTGAAAAAAACAATCCAAATTTAAACTGCACTATTTGAATTCTGCCCAACATTTCACATTTGGACCACAACAGCCCCACTGCAAAAAAATAATATCCAGCCTTGGTCTTTAAATGTGAGTATGAGAATGTGAGTATTTTTCACTTTAGATTCAAAAGCCTGTATGAGATTATTTTACTTCATGAGTTTTTTGGCTGGTTCCAAGAATATTTATGTCAATGGAGTAAAAAAAAACAACTTAAAACTTATAAAAATAGCAAATATAAATTAATTCTAAAGAAAATTAAAGTAAAGTAAATGTAAATAATCTGGATATTATTTTTTTGCCTTGCAGTAACATAGTCTATGGTCTAGTTTGAACTAAACATTTCTGTAAAATAATTCTTATAGGCAACAGGGCAGCATCACATTCCTTGTATACTGAGGCTTTAAAATAGACTGCCTTTTTCACTGCTAAAAATCAAGTTCTTTTATATGCTCAAATGTTTAATACACGCTTCTTTGCCATAGAGAAGCATGCCTTGTGTAAAGACCATAGGAATCACTGGGCTGTGGTTTGCTGCATGTTACTGATATCTGCGCCTTTAAAAATGAAGCAAGATTTAACAGCTTTCCCTTTTCCAGGACATTAAAATGGACTGCATTCACTGTTCAGTCTCCTATCGATTTCCATACGAGCCAATGGGAAACATTTTATTGATGTGAGCTTTGAGAGGTGTGTCCTCTCATGTTACTTGCTGACCTATATGCAGATAAATAATGGTTTATGGTCTAGTTATCATGTCACAAATCTTTTCAATAGGATTAAGCACTACCCCTTCCTTCGCTGTCATTTCCAATTTGTTTTTCAGATGAGACCTCTATTAAAATGCAGAGGAAATCTGTGTGATATATGATCATGTCTGACAAATTATTTTGGTAACACTTTATTTAAGGGATCACAGATTAATGGCTAACTAGAGACCAGTTTGTCTCCATTAAGCTGCTGTTGCTTTGCAGGAAATGTTCCACAGGTTAAGTTTAGTTATACTTTATTGTCCCCACAAGTGTGGATGTGGCATTAGTCAATTTATGTGACGCTACCATGCCTACAGGTCAGATCTGTGGAGAGGCGTGCTCACTTTTTATTTGAGAAACACAAGTAATTGAACAAATGCAAGATACATCCCATACAGAGGAACATTACGGCCAAAGCAGTAGCATAATATCTTCAGAGAGACAAGACAGAAGTATTTTTAGGTCATTTTACATAAACACTATGTCTAAATATAGCATTAATATTCCTTTACTTAATTCATTTGTGTTCATTTAATTAATAACTGCATGCCAAGTATCCATTAGTGATTAATAAGTGTTACCATAATTTCTGTCAGACGTTCTATTCTTTTATCAACGCAAAGCTCCCCGCCTCTGCAGCTCTGTTATCTGAGGTGTAGGGACATTCGAGCAGGGGGGACAAAGGGGAGAGGCAGAGTGAAAAGAATAAGATATGGAGGTAATGAAGCACAGCGATAAAGCAGGGGCCAAACAGAGAGAGCGCCGCAGAGGGAGGAGAGCTCTGCAGTGGGACAGAGAGAGGCGGCACAGAGCACGAAACAAGGCGTTTTATAAGCACGCTGAGAACTGGAAAATCTACATGAGTTACTGTGCTTAAAATGAACCTTGTTTGTGTGTATATGTGTGTGTGTGTTTTTCACTAGTTTAAGTTTTGACTAGACTGTTTCCGGGTATGTCTTTAAGTCTTTTTGGGTTGCAAGCTAAATTATCTGTTCATTAAGACATTAGTTACAATAACAAGTGTTTTCTTTTGGAAGACTAAAAACCTTTTTTCTCAATTGAGATGCTGTTTTTCCTTGAATCTTGCACAGAATAGCACCAAATTTATCTCTGTCAATCAAGAGAAACAGGTGATTCCAGCAACCCAACCTATTTTCTGGCAATAAAAATCCATAATTTAATAAAAGCAAAAGATACTGTGGAAAATTCAAGCCAAAGCAATAACATCTGGGCCTCCCCAAAAAGAAAACGTACAGTATAGAGCCAAAGCATTGTCAGATCATTAAAACGAGCCACACTTTAACACTTTAAAACAAAATCTTGAACTAAACTTAACTATTTTCTGAATCCAAGTGATTTCAACTCAATCGGATATTGTGTTTGTGCAGTGCGGAGACGACGCTCACAATGTGCTGAGGAGGCAGAGGCTCTGTGGTTTTTAACTGATTGGTCATTAATGAGAGAGCAGGAGGGGAGGGGCTGTCTGCTCGGATGTGGGGCCGTGTAAAAGTACTTACAGCAGCATTTACATCTGACTTGACATATATTTAAAACTGCCAGGGGAACACTCTCTCATTATGTATGGTCTTTATTTTGGCAGGAGATGCTGTGTTAAAATGATTGACTATGATGCAACCATTTTACAAGCAAATTCTGTTAACTCATGTCTTGGCTTATAAAACTGTTTCTCGATCACTCAGCGGTCTTCTTTGTAATCTCTAAAGCTTATCACAATGGACAACGTATTGCTTAGTCTGGAATGTACCACAGTAAAGCACCAAACGTATCCATCATCTCCTTGGAGGCCCCAGCACCTGTAAATACAAGCTAGAAGTTCAGTGTCAGACTGTGGTGCATTCTACGCAAAGCAACAATATTTCCATTGCTTGCTCTCTCCACACCACAGAAGCTACATAGTGAATCTTTAATATTTTTACTTGTAAGTGCAGTGCCATAACATACATATGAATGACCAGCTGAACTCCTTTATCTCTATAGGGGTCTGCAGAGAGAGGGAGTGTGGTACTGGTGATAAATCTTCGGCTTCCCCCGTTTTACACCAGGTCCCTTGCCCATCTGCTCCCTGTCAGCAGACCCAAGTGGGTGGGAGGAGTTGGACAGAGGACAGAACCCAAGAAAGCAGAACAGAATCAGAGTATTGGGTGTGCGTGGGCTATTGTAATATGTGTCAGTGTATAGGGCTTGGAACAATACCAGCACATTTTGGACAAACAATACAAATGAGATTACATTATAAAGATTATGCAAACCTTGTGTTCACATATTAAACTTTTTGTGGATCTGTAGCATCAAGATTTGAGTGAACACTGAAATATCCCATGACGCAAGAATGTCAAACTTTCATCTTGCATTTATCCAATTACAGGTGTTTTTACTGCTCAAAAATATATGTTCATACTAGGGATGTAACAATAACCGAAATATTGTGATATCATATCATCAAAAGTCTCACAATAATATCGTGGGCTGTCACAATATATCAAATCACTAGTTCCTTTGCTTAAATGCATGGTTTTATAGTAGCAACAGCTTATAAACATCAAGAACTACATATCCCATATTAGTGCAGACAACATGAAGAGATCCATCCATCCATTTTCTTTCGCTTATCCAAGGCCTGGTCGCGGGGGCAACAGTCTAAGCAGGGGCTCCCAGACTTCCTTCACACGAGACACTTCCTCCAGTTCCTCCGAGGGGATCCCGAGGCGTTCCCAGGCCAGCCGAGAGACATAGTCCCTCCAGTGTGTCCTGGGTCTTCCCCGGGGCCTTCTTCTGATGGGACATGCCCAGAACACCTCCCGACGGAGACGCCCAGGAGGTATCCAGAACAGATGCCCTGAGCCACCTCAGCTGGCTCCTCTCGACGTGGAGGAGCAGCGACTCTACTCCGAGCTCCTCCCGTGTGACTGAGCTCTTCACTCTATCTCCAAAGGAGCACCCAGCCACCCTGCGGAGGAAACTCATTTCGACCACTTCTATCCGCAATCTTGTCCATTCGGTCATTACCCAGAGCTCATGACCATAGGTGAGGGTAGGAACGAAGATTGACCGGTAAATCGAGAGCTTTTACTTTTGGCTCAGCTCCCTCTTGACCACAACGGTTCGATACAGCGACCACATCACTGCAGACGCTGCACCGATCAGCCTGTCAATTTCACGTTCCATCCTCCCTTTAATCCTGAACAAGACCCCGAGATACTTGAACTCCTCCACTTGACAATATGAAGAGTTATGTTTTTTGCCTGAATTATTGGGATTATGATGGTCATAATTCACACCAAAATCTTGTCAAGGTATTTTAAAAGCAAAAAAACTGTCTACAATTATATCAGCCTCTTTAAAATATTATAATAAATATCATACTGTGTGATGCATATCGTGATAATATCATACCGTGAGATTTGGATATCGTTATAGCCCTATACATACACTCTACAGACCTGTTACTTGGCCAAGCGGTCTCCTGTCACCAAGGAGACAGATACATTTATTGCCATACTGTGGAGCATTCCAGGCAAAGTGATGCCATGTGGCGAACTTTCCATGAGAAATATTACATAGTGCACCTTTAATTTCAGAAAATATTGGTTGAGGACACAAATAGCACGTTTCAGATCATATGGAGCCAGGGCACATGATCAACCTATAACCTTTTTAATTTCACTGCGGGTCTTTCAGCCGTTTATGTCACAGAGCTTAAGCAGGGGCCATGCTGCAGTCCCAATGCAGCACTACCCTGTACCCCCACACACACAGGCACACATGCACGGACACACACGCACAGAAACACACACACACACACACACACTCTGAACTCTGGCTTCCTCTAGCACACCCACGTATAGAGCTGCTACTTCAATTTGATCTAGTGAAAAGATAAGAAAAAGACTATTAAAGTGTTACAAAGCAATGATAATTTCTTACAGACTGAAAATTTCTAATTAAGTAAGTAAGTTGTAGGGTCATGTACATAACCTAAATTTAACTGCGATTACAATTATTGCTCCAATCAATTCCAAAATGAAAAAAATGACAAATGAATTTAATTCTTTTCTAACTAGTGATCAGTCTGGTCCTTGAAATGAAACCTGGAGCAATGCCACTCAGATCTACAATTGCGTTTAAGTCTTGAAAATCTTGAATTACAAAATATTACAAATAAATTGTAATAGTCATAACCATGTATAGATTTCCTTATTGAAGTAAAAAGTTGTATTTCTTTATGTTTTGTTAAAGATGCACTGCGCAACTTTTCTGGTGGAGGGTCTGTCTTTGTTGCTTTTTCTGGAATGTTCCATGTCATGACTTTAAACATTTCATTGTTAAAAATACAATAATTCCTTCTGTGAACAGGGGCAACTCTCCACAGATCTGACTTGTAATATAAGGCAGATATAAGGTAGTGCTTGTCTCCCTTGTGACAGGTAGGATAGGTACTTGCTGAAATTTCTATACTGTGGAACATTCTAGACAAAGCAACAACATTTCCATGGAGACATCAGGTGGCGGATTTTCCATCCCAAATGTTACTCAGTGCACCTTTAAGATAGAGCATTTTTTGTCTGCATTGTCAAAGTAGATAATAATAGGAAGTGAAGATGCAGTACAAGTAGGAGCTGTACACTGATTACTCTCAATTTGAAAAACACATTTTGCTGGGCTTTTATTTAAACTAAATCAGGGGTTTTCAAACTTGGTGAATGTGAGTCCCTCCCTTAGGTAAAGACCAAAATCCCACCCGCCTGCCCTACCCCACGCAGGCCTTAAATGCATCTGTTGTGTTTCTGGCAATGATGAGTTTCAATAACAACAGATAAGATTTGTTTTAATATTGTATTTTCAGGTTTTAGTGCATTCATAAACAATTTTGGCAACAGCAAATAATTTCCAACTTTATGCAGGCCTAATTGAGGCGACTTAACATCACTGAACTTCAGTAGGTCACAAGACTAAATCAGGACTAAACCAGAACTAAACCAGGAATAAACCAGGACTGAACAGGACTAAACCAAGACTAAACCAGGACTAATCTTGGATATGAGAGAGAGAGGGAGAACCCCAAGCAAGAAGTGTGCGGGACAGAATTTTCAGTCCCACT